GAAAGTCCAGCAAACAACTGCCTGCTTTTCCTCCTGCAATGTGCTTTCTCAAAAAAAAACATTAACAAAAGGGGAATGCTATGCTATGACTAAGCCAGAAAAGACCACTGCCCTTGTTCCACAACCTATGTTTACTACACATTCCTGAACAGAAAAAATACAACTTGTCTGGCAGGACTATAGGTCTGAAGACTGGCCATTATCAGCATACCACTGCAGAAATGCAAAGACTCAGTATTCAAATGGAAGATAACATTACTGACTGATTCTTTTTCATCCTACATGTAACTTTCATTGATCATACTATTACCCTTTTCTTATACTTCCATTTTACTTCCCAAGTCCATGGTTTCCTTTACATTTCTTGATTGTTTTGGGTTTTTTTCCCCATCAAAATTTATTCTTCAAATCAGTGAAGTTTCCATAGCTTATTAGGTCTTTTACATGCAGACATAAATATATATACGAAATCTGTCATAGAATAGAGAGTGGTTTTTTTCTACTTATAAATATTTATAAAAGAACAACTTTTTCAGTTATTCTTTTCCCTTTAATAAACATAGTAACAGTCCAATTAATACATTTACTATTTTCAGTGTTACCTGCTCCTATTGACATATATAGATTGTTCTGAAAGAACTGATCTTCTCTAATTTGTTCTCTGATTCTGGAACATGCTTCTTTCTCCTTCCAGACAATCTGCAGCTTCGGCTACAAATATCTATACTCAGATTAAAGTTAACAATTGCCCTGTGTAAGAGAAGACAGTAGACACACAAACCAGGATAAGATCTAAAATCTTGACAAAAGCTTTAAAACTACCTAAACAGTAATCTCACTATTTTTCCCCCAGAATAATCACATTATGATTAAGTTTTAAGAAGAATGTGATCAGTAATAAAGACAAATTTTCTTCATTGGTAGTGTTCACAACATTACTCTTCATCCATCATCGTGAAGGAAAAATGCTCCAGGGTAAGAGCCATCAATTTACAGTGGGAACTATGCCACTCAGACAGATGGGGTACCTTTAGGGAGCCAAAAGATTATATATGTTCATCAGCGATGGGTGCTCAAGGCATGATTCCCAGCTGAGAACACTGGAAACTTTGTCTGTTACAAGCTGTCTGTGGCTCTTAGCCACAGCTAATCTCTCGCAGGTCTGAATTATCTTTTAAAAATCAAGATTGGCTTCTGTGGCCAGGTAAGGATCCTATGTGAGCAAAGGGCACCGAACAGCAGGCGACCTGAATGTCATAAAAATGTTGCAACTGGTCTGCGCTGATTGAGGAGAGAGGCCAGGATGCAAAGTACAGAATTACAAGAGTAATTCTTCATTCATGAACAGAAGTGTCCCATTCAAATTAGGGCACAATGAACATGTTCAACAAATGGTTCTTATGGCTTTCACGCATTCATATACAATATGATTTGACCACTCACTGCATAACCCACATTCATGCTGCTATTCTGCAAAACAGTAATAAATTTTTGGTGTCACCACACAGCTGATTCTTTCTTGATTTAGGTGTCCCTGGCATTGGTCTTGCTACAGCTACTGATGAAGCCAGATTAACGGCAGGGTTTTGCCAGAGATGTTGAAAGTACTGGGATTCTGGTGTAATCTTCGTAGTCCAGAGGCATTTTTCATCTTCATGAGTGGCTTTAAGATTCTGAGAGACAAGACAGAGGATTAGAGGTCCTTATCTGCAAGGTGAGGACCGTCCTTCTTCCAGAGAGCTGGGGCCTGTCACTTATTGTGAAACCACGGCTATGCGGTATACAAGGTAAATAAGTATCTCTAAAGGAAGCTAGGGTGAGTTTATACTATTGAGTTCATACCACTTCAAGCTACGAGGCCTAGCTGGTGCAGCTGCCAGATTCTCCTAGCAGAAGCCTGGAGGCTGAGGCAGAAGTCTTGCCTGCACCGCTCATTTTTGTCAGGGACGCTGCAAAAATGATGTCCGGAGGAGGGCTCACGCTGACTGAAGTCAGTGCTCGGGAACGGAACAGTGACAGCACAAACTCCAGCCCTGGGGAAATCGGTCTGATCGGTCACACAGGTTTCCCACCGGGCAGGGCAGAGCACCCATCCAGAGCGGTTCCTCCGCCCTCGCAGGAGGCGAGGTACAGACCCGCGCCGTGCCCTCCGTGTGCGCACCCCTGGCCGCCGAGGCGACACGGCCGTGAGGGGCACGCGGGCCGGCCCGGGCGGGCTCCAAGGCGGGCTCTGCCCGGGCGGGCTCGAAGGCCGGCTCTGCCCGGGCGGGCTCGAAGGCCGGCTCTGCCCGGGCGGGCTCGAAGGCCGGCTCTGCCCGCGCCGCTCCCTCCCCGCGGGGCGCGGTCCCGCCCGCCGGGCGCTCGGAGCGCGCACGCGCGGCTGGAGCGGCGGAAGCCCACGGTTGGTTCCGCCGCGTGCCCGGGCGGGGGGCGGCGCGCGCGACCCTCGTTCCGCCGGGAGCGGCGCCGCGGGCGGGCCGGGCCGGGCCGGGCCGGCGGGAGGGGCGGGGGGCGGCGGTACCGGCGGCTCCTCGGGCACGGCCTCGCCGCGGCGGGCGGGCTCCCGCTGGGCTTCCTCCATCCCTGCGGCTTCTCTCCAGCGTTGGTGATGTCCTTGCAGGGAGCTGGGTAGGGAAGCCCTGGGCGCGCTGGGTATTTCCCCAGCTGTGACATAAGGAGATGCTGCTGTCGCTTTCGCGCACCTCTAGGGTGCTGGTTGCCCTGCAGAGGAGGAGGAGGAGTGTGTTTGCTGATGTTGTGGGAGTAGGAGAGGCACATGTTTTTGATCGGCTGTGTGTTCCAGCAGCGCGGCACAAGGAAATGCAATGGCCTTGGCCTGCCTTGGTTTCACACTTTCATTTTCCAGCTCCAGATGAAATAGCAGGTCTTCGTTACCCTCAGACTGATGATCCAAACAGTAATGCTCTTAAAGTAACATCCATTACCTCTCTAAGAGTGGCTGCTTGTCAGCAGTAGGTGAAGATAGTTTTCACGGACTTGTGATAAGGAAAATAAAGGCGTGCCTATTTTAATGTCAAGCCACATCCCTCTCCAAGCCCAAGTGACATTTTTTATACATGCAGTAGATGTTTACAGGTATGCTTTGCTAGATCTTATCAATGAAGAGTAACTGGGTAGGAATCTCTTGCCTACCTCAACAAACCTGCCAACAGCCACCTAGCAACTGCATTGTGCCAAGGTCTCTAGTGCAACCATCCATTGTATAAACACAAGAAATGCCAGGTGTGTGGGGTTTTGCCATAGCAAAAATATGCCGTTGCTTATGTTAACTGGTTATTCAGATACCTATCCTGTTCTGTCAAACAGAAGAGTAGCAAAAATCTTAATGACAATTCTTAAATGACACTTGATAACCCAACGTGACCAATTTAAAATCTAGTTCGTAAAATAAGTAGATTGTTTCAAGTCCACCTTGTTTTTTCCTGTTGAGGAGTATTTGTAGTTTTAGTACCAGTAATCTTTGGCAGTTATTCTTAAGATTTCAAGAAAGTCACTGATATAAAAATGCAGCTAGATCTAGAAATTGGGGAAGGCTGTTGGTTATTTCTGCCTTGCCTCAGTTTTCAAAAATATTACAAGTGTAGCTATCTTGTGTTTCTACTCTCTGTTCCTTTTTCTGACTTGCTTAGAGTACAGCCTTTTTAGAAAGTGGTGGTTTTTCCGCTCTAGAAATGTGTATTACAGTATTGTTCAGTTTGTGTGAAGTCTTAAAGTTGTGTTTCACAGCAAACAATACAATAAGTTATTGATTTGTGTTGATCTGCACTTGTTCAGGGATTTGTGAAAGAAGTTCTGCAGGTTACATTTCAGAAGCCATGCTTGTCTTAATGAGCAGGGCTAAAGTGAGGCATGGTTTCTAGTTGTGTATCAGAGCAACACCCATGTAGGTGAAAGAAACAGAATGTCCCCAGAACTGACTGTTGTGCTTAGGATGAGAAATTGGGTACTGCTTATGTTGGGTGTATTCATGAAATACGGTTTCCTAAGTATGTTTTGGGATGGTCTTGATTCAAAATTGTATACCTTTTATGTTTCTAAGGTTGCATTCAAATGAGTCAATTAAAGCAATGTATATTTCATGTTAACACTTCTGGTTAGTACAAAGCGTTCTCATTTCTCAGAATTGACTTCCTGCCTGACTCATTCTGTGATCTTTATATTCTGTGGGTGTCACACGAGGAGTCATATTGCAGGTGATTGTAGTGAACAAAATGCTGAGTTTATGGCACCGTTGATGGAACTGGGCAGAAAGAAAAGGGTTAGGAAAAAAATGCCGTCCAGGCATCCTGTAATAGAAGTATTTTTTGGAAAGGCAAGAACAATTCCTGATCATGTGGGAAAGACTCAGTCATGTTTTAGTGCAGCTGGAGCTTTTCATAGGCACAACTACTGTTGGCTTCCAGATGGTTTCTATTTGAGTTGTTTATTTAGAAGAAATATCTGTAAATTAGGGTGCAAGGGAAGAAAACCACAAAACCTCTGACATTAGTGCTCTGTATTTTCTCTTAAATTATTTCATTGGAAAATTGCTTTGCTTGGAGAATTTAATTGCTTGTAGGAATACTGACTATGTACAGATATAAATCACTTAATTGTTTCTCTCAGCTTATTTGTCTTAAACCTTCTCATAGAATTTTTTCCTTTGCATATTGTAGTTTTTCTGATTAGAAATTATGAATTTCGAAGAACAAAATTATATGAGATCAGTTATCTCTTTTCTTGACACTATTTGAAAGAATAATAAATTCACCTTGTTTGTGACTTAAATTTTCGTCTTTCTTCGTAGTTATCAGATTTTGAACCTCTTAGTTTTTCTTTTTTTCCTCCGCCATTATATATTTATGCATGGTACATAAACCAAGAGAAAGAGGGGGAGAACTCACTTTGCCAGACAGAGTAAGTCAATATATTAACATAATTTATTTGCTATTGCTGACAAAGTAAAATGAAAAAATATAAAAATTTGCCATAATAGTAGACAGGAAGCAAATGTGTGTAACTGAAATACACTGGCAGTAGTGTACTTTTACATAGACCTTTCTCTGAACTTTTGCATCCTTTTAAATATATATTAAAATTGTGAAATGGTGTAGAGCTGACGTGTGAAGAATGCTAGTTAGAATTAATATGTCAGTTTGGAGACAGCTCTACTCAGTAAGTAAGGTAGGGTTTGAAAAACAGAACAGAAAGTAACCTGTTATATGCTGCCTTTCAAACAAGTGATAATGGTTGGTTGTATATCACACTATTTTCTGTCTCTTTCAGAAGATACAGAAGACAGATGAAAAATCACCCTGTCCTGAGAGTGAGGCCTGTATTTGCATAGTTTTGGCTTAGTTGTGGAATTTTCCATCCAAGGTATTGTTTTGAGGGTGGCTGATATTTGTTTTGGTTTTGTAATTATAAAAGTGAATGTGATCGTGCAAGCAAAAGTAAGTCACTGAGGGTTAAGAATTTTGAATATATTTCCTTGATAGGCATTCTTACTGTTTTCTCCTGAATCTCTCTCACTACTTATTGCTCACATCATACAAGTAGGTCACTCAGAAGCAAGTATTTCAGTAATTAAATATCTCTTGTTTGTTGAGATATTATTTCCCATTCTGAGGAAGTGCTGTGAAGTCATGGAATCTCTGCTGCTCTGGTGAGATGGGAAACACATGGATTCCTCAGTGGTCAGCAGCGTTTCTAGCTACATTTTTGGCCTCTATCTTTCTGTCAGTCTGTATGATTTTCCCTTTGTAAATTCATGGTGATTACTCCCAGTCACCTCCTGGTCCTTCTTGTGTTTGAAAGTAGCTTCCAGGATTGTTTCCTTCACCTTCCCAGGGAACAAGGTGAGGCTAGTAGACCTGTAGTTGCCTGGCTTCTCCTTCTTGTCTTTGAAAGCAGGGTTTTCATTGACACTTGTTTTCTTCAGTCTTCTGGAATGTCCCCCATCAGCATAAAACTTCCAAACGTAGTTGAGAATGACTTCACAATGACAAGACCAGCTTTCTCAGTGCTCAGGTTGGCACCTCAGCAGGTCACATCGAAGTGTTAGGTCCAGTTCACTTAAAAAAATGTTAATCTGATCTTCCCTCGCTCAGAGTAAATCTTCTGTCATCTACACTTTCCTCTAGACTTCTAGAGGTCTCAGGGACCTGGGATTCCAGAAGGCAGGTCTTACCCGTGAAAGACCAAGGTAAACAAGGTGCTTTGACATTTTTGTATCGTTTTGATACTTTTCAGCAGCAACTGACGTTTCCTCTAGCCTTCCAATGCTGCTCATTGTACCTGTACCTGTACAAATCTTTCTCTTGGAATTTCATATCCCTTACCAGATTCAACTCTAGGAGAACCTTGGTTTTCCTAACCCTATCCTAGTGCACCTAAGTGGTGCTCCTTTGTCAGTTGTGTGCACACATTGGTGCAGCCCCCCTTCACCTTGGTTTGGTTGATTATAAGATCTCTGTTTTTCACATCATCCTGCATACTTTGCTTGAAAACTGTGACTACCACTTCCTTGTTAATTCAAAGGTCACCACCTTCCTCTATCACCATTCCATGTTTAAGCATTCCCCAAGCTGATTAACCAACCTCTTGGCAAAGATGCTTTTACACCACGTAATTTCAGGTGGATCTTGTTCTTCTTCACCCTCAGTTCTTGAGACTCATAGAAAGTTCTGTGGATGAACATGGTGCACCACTTGGTCATTTGCAGGATCTATCTGCTGCTCAAGTTCTCCCGCTTCACCAACAGCATCAACGAGATGCTACTTGGCTACTAGACTTTGGCCATACCCTGTGAACTATGTAGTCATGCTTGGTACACTCCTCGTCTCCCCTGGCTATGTTCATGGTGCCTGAATGGAAGAGCAGCTGAGGGTAATAGTCTAAGGGCCAGACTACCACCATTCTCAGTAACAGTCCATGGTATCCAGGACCCTGGCAAGCAGCATACTTTGCCGGGTGACAGGTTGGGCCAGCAGAGGTGTCTTTGTCCCAGAAGCAGGGACCCACCACTGTTCCTTACCCCACTCTTCCCATATTGCCATAGGACTCAGGCAGAGATGACTCAGGGGCGTTTTTGGACAGAGCTTCTGTCTATGTGTGCTGCCAGAGCTCAGAACCTTCTCTGTACATCAGAGCCGCAGGCAGAACAGGAACTGTCCTCTTGGTGTTGGAGCTCAGAGGCTCACAGACTTCTCTGCACTCTGCATCTCCATGTCGGGCTTGGCAAGCTGAGGCTGTGTCTACTTCTCCTGGTGCAGTGGGGGTTTCTGTAGCGGCAGGAACTTGGTGGGGACCTGGTCTGTCTCCTTTTCAGCACCCCTGAATATACAGTTTTCTTACCTCACTCAGCTTGTCTGCTTGATGAGATAGGTCCTTCATCAGTTCATGCTTAGAAGTATATAAAATGTTGGTTTTGTTCTAAACTTGCTGGTTTCCACTGCTAGCTTACAACAGAGAAACCTTAAGAACTGGCAGATTCAGTAGTATAATACCACATCGTTTTATGTCTAGAGTCTGTACATAAGTGTGTAGTGTATTGATAACATGCGTGTGTGTAACAGACGGTGGTGCATGTGTGCTAGATATTAAGAGAGATTATAGGCCTAAATAGGTTTTATGATTATCGTGATCTTAAAAGCAAGTTTTAACAGCACAGCAGCTTTATTCAATATACAATATGGTTCTAAAAGCAAATGTTAGAAAATTCTGTATTTTTAGGATAAAAATAAAAACATTTATTACTCTGTGATACTTGAATGGGAGCACTGTTACATTGGAAGATAGCAAACAGAGAGTTATGATAAATAATAAAGGAGAGTGGAGAAATGACAGCTTGTTTGCATCAGATTTTGATTAGACATCTAAAAAAAGAAGAAGACATTAATGAAATTTGTGAATAGTTTTAAGTAAGGAAATTTTGAATGCAATTGAGGACAGTCAAACATGAAACAAGTAAGCAAAACCCCTGCAAACAGATAACATGTTGATAAACAAAATTTCAATGCAACAAGTAGAAGCTGAAAGGAATGGAAAGAAATCCATCAGAAATGGACAAGATTCCTGACACCCAGAAACTGGGGAAACTAATGGGTAAGAGAGTAGGTTGAGATTTAGTGTATGTGTGTGCTTTGCAATAATAAAATATGTGTATGAAGTTAGTCTGACAAAAAAAAATAACAGTAGTAACCCCTCCCCTGATAGTTGTTCTGAATAGCAGTTAGGACTTAATGCTGTGTTGTTATGGAAATCAGCTTATGAAGCACAGAAGTTCACATTGTGGGACTTGGTGAGATTTCTTCAGTCTAAAACCAAAAGGAACCCAGCCCACTAAAATATAAGGATGGAAACCTTGATGTTTTAAATGTGATTAATAGAAATTGTTCTATTGCATTATATTTTTAATAATCTGTATGAGAGATGTCAAGGTAAAGACTCCTTTCTCCCTTGGTTTGCTATTAATGTCGTGAAGGAGGTTTTTTAAGCAAGGAAACCCTGAATTCTTAGTGAAGCTTTTGACTATTTTAGCATAAAAGCTTTAAGAACACAACATGAGATATAGGGGGATACTATAATTGATAGGTGGAGTGAATCTTTGTGGGACATAAATAATTCCCTATATTTCTAATTTGCTTTGCAATGTTTTTACTTTGGTGGAAGGGTTTTCTTTGCTGCTGCCACCTGACTGACAGTTGCTGCTTTACCTATTATTTAATAGTTTTCCCACTTAGTGGTTTTACTTGCATCTTGGTGATAAATGTTACATTTTAGCCAGATAACTAATGAATGAGATCATAAAATGTTTTGCTAGCTGGTGCTCGAAAAATGTATGTGAAATGTTTGTAAATTTTTATGTAATTCCTCAAATCAACAGCTGACAGATTTTTTTCTTCCTTATGTATGAACCCTATAGGTTGCACTATACTTGTTAATTTACTCCTTTTTTTTTTTCTCCTCTCTTAAGGATTATCTTCCTTGGTCGTGACAATTTATTACCTGTTTTTATTCGATGGGGCAACGAATTCACTTTGTGGTTGACCCTCAGGGTTGGTGCTGCATGGGCCTAATTATCTTCGTCTGGCTGTACAATACAATCTTCATTCCAAAGGTCATCCTTTTTCCTCATTACGAAGAGGGAAATATTTCAGTTGTGGCAGTTTTGTGTAAGTAATTTTAACTTCTTTCTGCTACTAAGAAAATAGTGTCTCTGCTTAATATACATTAAAAAAAACTAGGGTGAAAGTAAAGACAGAAGGTAAGATAAAGGGTAAGAGTAGTGGGCGTGTCCTACATTTTTGTGTTCTGAGAATCTGAGACACTTCATTTTACAGGTGTTATTGTAGAAATTGCTTTTGTGGAAACTGGTGAAAAGCCTGAATGTGGCTTTCAGGTCCTGTACTTAGAACTTGTTGACAGGATTTCGGGTTCACATCTCTAAGTGCCTGTCAGAATTTGGTGTGATAGTACTGATGACTGTGGGTTAGCTCAGACAAGTTTTGCTGATAGATTTGCTGGGGAAATGGCTTGAATTATGTCTGGAACAAACTTGAAGGTGAAGATGCACTATTGGGAATATTTTTCATATGGAGGCTTTGAGGTGTGGTATGATTGGTGTTTGTGGAGGAACTTCTTAAAAACAGTCGTATGGTCATAGTAGTACCTGCTGGTGCTATGAGAACTGTTAACTACTTTTTTCACTCCCTTTATTAGGGAGTACTTAATATTGTATACTTAATATGAAAAATGTATCTGGAATTCAATGACAAGGCTGAGTATTTTCCAGCTCAGTTCTGGAGCATCTGTATTTTTGATATAGTGTACTTTGTATATATGAAAAAGACTAACAAATGCTTATTTACTTTTTAGGTTATTACTTCTGCTCATTGTTTTGTATAGCTTCATTATTTAGAGCCTCAGTAGCAGATCCAGGAAAACTACCTGAAAATCCAAAGATACCAATTACAGGTACGTTAAATTGTTTCTGTATAATTGAATGAAGATCTTTTTAATATCCTCAAAATTATTAGGAATACATTTGAATTTGTGAGATTTAATGGAAACCATGAGCTGTCTCTGCTGAATAAAGTTAGTATGTCACTGTTTTTAAGTTGTAAATTTCTAGGACTTTTCCTTGTGTAGTCTCAAAACTTCTTCCAAAACTACTTGAATTTTCTACCAGAAAGTTTAGTTATGTAGGACTTTCTGCTAGGAAATATTGCAGTGGGAAGAATTTTTTTGCATTCTAGACTTTCAAACATATTGCATATGCTACTAACTTGATAATATTTAATGAAAAATGTTTAGAGGTGGCTAATGATTTTAATTCTATAGCTTTTGTCTAATTAAGTTTATATAATGTTGAAAGTGGTGGCGGAAGGTTTTGCTATGCTGGTTTTTACCTGTGTGTTTTTTACTTTTTTTTTTTTTCTTTTTTTTCCCAGAATCTTACAATTGTATAGGGTGTTAACCAAAAAAGCCCAAACCACGGTGCTAATTACACTGCATTTCTATAAAGTAGCTGTTTAATGGAGCAAGTATTTTCTGTCCTTGTAAATTTATCCCACAATTCCTAGATGGTATTCAGTGCTCCAGAAGTTGGAGAAAATTTAAAACATTAATGATTCTTCACAGAGAAAGAAAATATTTTTGTGAACTGCTGGGTGCTATTATCTAATCATAGAGCTTTTACTTATGAGTTTAGAATGAAGTGTTAAACAGCATGAGCTTTGTTATATTAACAGATAACCCTTAATGAAGAAAATGTATCCCATACAGTGAGGATGAATACTTCAGTTGTGTCTTGAGATAAATAGAATAAAATTTTGTTCTCTTCCCGATGTTACTGAATATCTGGCATGATGTGTTTGGAAACATGGTCTTTTTAGCCTTAGTGCTAATGATATGATGTGCATGAAATAGACAGCTGATTGTAGAAAGGGGTGCATCTCCTTGGGATTCAGATGTGTCAACAGTAGTTGCAGAAAATCTCATGCCAGTGTTCTTTCTACTTCCGGCAGCTGATCATTTGATTCAGTAAAACATCAAGAATTTGAGACTTGGGTTCTGGAGTCAAAGTTTTTGCTGCAGGAAGAGCAACAGGAGCTGGATAGTGAAGGCTCTTCTTAGTTACAGACGGTTACATTTATACTGGGGTTTTAATTTACCTTTAAAATACCAGGAGCAGTGCAAATTCCCTTTGTACACAAATACTTTTTTCTAATTTAAGGTATCTCTTTGCATAGCTCTCCAACCTTTACATGCTTCATTCAGTCCATATGGCAGTCATACTTTACAAGTACTTCTGAAGGTGAAATGTTTATGTTAGGTCATGACTTTGATATTTTGGTTTGGTATGTGATATATCAGGGGTTTTGTGCTTTTGGAGGTAGCACTTCAATTCTCTGGTATTCTCTAGGCTGAGAGGAGGATACATTTTTGCTTAGTATAAGTTGTGTTAAAAAGTGAGTTGGGGTGTTCCTGAACTCTGCTGGTGGCTACCCTATTAGTGAGTGACGCCTTTGTGACACTGGATTCATGGGAACAGATTGTAAATCAGTTTCCATCTGTCATTATTACTAGTTTAATGATCTCAGATACTGGGCTTCTTTACTTTCAGTGTCCAAATGTTATTTTTCAGCAAGAAAGACCAGATTAGAGCAGCCTGCAGGTGGCTCAGAAGTGCTAAATATAACTTTATTTTGTTTACATAGGGACAGTGTTTTACAGTATAAAATTTCAGAATGTCCTACTGTAAATACTAAGCTTTTTTCCCTTTTGTTCCCCTCTATCCCTGAGATTTGACAAATTTTTGTGCCTCAAAATCAGTTTATTTAGGTAGAAACAAAGTTGAACAAAGTATTTAAGTTGTTCAGTCATCCACTTCTTGTCCTTAAAGACAGACAATATATGCTTTTTGTGACTGAAATTATTTAGTGTTAATCTTTCTTGTTTCCCATGTGAAGATGAAATTTTTGGACATATAATTTGAATTTTCATTTTCAAAGAATACCTCTAATTTGAGTGGTGTGATTTGAGATAATTGATAGCCAATATGAACAATAATACTCCTGGTACTTTCAGCTACTCAGTATCTCTGGAGATTAGCTTTTAAAAAAATCTCACATTAGTAATTTAAAAATAGTATATATTTGTAAATACAAGCCTATTCTCTATCTCTTTCTTTGATTGCCATATGTGTAAAATTGCATATGGCGATATGCATGTCTTTAAAATGCTTTGAGTTGGAAGATGCCCTTGAAGTGTTCATTGTGTTTCATGTTTTAGTTAGCTAGCAGTAGCAGTATTTCCTCCGGAGGTTCTGGAATAGCAGCGAGATTTTATCCTGATTCTGTCTAGCAGATAATTTTTTTCACAGTAGAAATGTAAGGAAATAATTGAGTTACAGTCTTCCTTGTTTGAGTTACAACTTTTTTTCTGTAATAATTACTTTGTAGAAATTTATAGGAAGAGAGAGCATTTTGGAGAAGGAAACTGTCACAGAGTAGAAGTGATATCTTCCAGTTTAATTAAGGTAACAGTGGGAAAAAGCTTTTTATATGATGCTTATCCTGCTCATATCATAGCAAGATTTGTTTTTTTAATTAGAATTACAAGCACACTGATTTATTATAAGCATGCATTACTGAGTTTGAATCTCTCTAACCTGTCTGTACATTTTTACCTAGAACGAGAACGTTGGGAGTTATGCTACAAATGCAATATGATGAGACCAAAGCGTTCACATCACTGCAGTCGCTGTGGACATTGTGTGAGGAGGATGGATCACCACTGTCCATGGTAAAACCAGGACATTTCTTCTAATAATCTACTGTTGTTTTAGTGAATCATTTGAAATTTGTGGTGCTGAGTGCTGCTCATTTTTCCTGTTTCTTTCCCAGTGGTACTTTTATTCATTTAGGCATTTAAAGCAAGGAAGTAATAAATTTGAGTTTTCATATAACTACCAGTACAACTCAGAGTGAAAAGTAAAAATCAACATTTCTGAAAGTAGTTCTGAGGTGTCATTTTTAGCAAGGCAAACTGCAGAGGACAGAATTGACATTAGGATTCCCTTATGTTGGTGTAGCCATTTTTCAAACTACCTTTTTTGTCAGGTTTTTGCTACTTCAGAGAATAGTACTGTTATAGTGCTTCTGTCACACTGGCTTAGTTTGGTCCTGATGTCTGTGCCAATGCTTGCATGAAATTGCATCCATGTAACTTCTGTGAAGCAGACTGTGCCCCAATTTCAAAGGTTTTTGATCTTGTGCTTAATACAGATAGAGTCCTTGTGTTTTCTTTACTCTTCATGCAGAAGGCGTTTCTGAATAGCCATGCCTGTATTGTCTTCTGTGCCTTTGGTTCGTTTCTAAGTCATATTTCTTTGTTATTGGGGTAGCCTGTGGTCACATTTATTTGTTTTCATGCCCAGTTTTTGGCCTCTCTGTCATTCACAACCTGTGAAATGTATTGAGTAGCAGAAGATAAGACATATTACTGGGAAATTTTGAAGACTTTAAAAAAACAATTTTATTACTAGAGCTTTACTTAAAGTTGCTATATGTATCTTTGCTATATAAAAATACAGAGAAGTATGTCTCCTGTTCTAAGCAATGATCTCAGTAGTGCAACCTACACTTCAAGTTGCGGTGCAAGGGATCCAGTAGTTTGCTTCATAAGCAATCATAAAGTCTTCTATTCACAGTATCATTAGTATTAAGTATTAATAGTGTTAAGTATTTGTATTTCTGTTTTTATATATGTACACTTTGTTTCTCTGCAGGATTAATAATTGTGTTGGTGAAGACAATCACTGGCTGTTTTTACAGCTGTGTTTCTATACCCAGATCCTTAGTTCCTACACGCTGATACTTGACTTCTGCCATTACTACTACTTTTTGCCGCTGAAAAAGGAAAACTGGGTAAGGACCTGTTTTCTCTGTGAAGCAAAAAAATAGTATTGCAATGTAATTTGTTGTGGCATCTAGTTGCTACATATCTTTGGTGGATCAGCTTCACTCTCAGTGAAGAGAGTTCAACTAGCTGTATGTTATTAAGTGAGCAAACTGATTTATAGTAAGTAACAAAATATTTTTATGAAAGGGCGTATTATTTCTATGTGTTAAAAACACAGTACTAATTTTCTTAGGAATCTGGGAAAGGAGGGAAGAACCAATTAGCTTTCTTTGGAAGTGATTGTGAGTACTGGAAAGAAGTAAGGTAGCTACTTTAGATATATTCAAATTTCCTTTTTCTTTCTTCAGAGTAGATTGATGCAGCATATAGAGTTATCCTAATGTCATGTTTTAAAAAGCTGATACTGCTTTTTTAAGAAAAAACAAAAACACATTATCATTTTACAAGGGGAAAAAATATACAATGGTCTTGTAGCAGTATTTTCTGTTGTTTTGAAAAGGTTTTGTGGGTTAAGGGAGAATTAAGTTTGGTTTGTTTTATGTGGACTATATATAAATAGTTACAGTATTTCCATGTCTTGTCATCAGTATATATACAGATGACATATATATATATACACACAGCATATATATATGTGTACACAGAGAAAATGGACTTACTGACTAGAGTAGAGTGAAAAATAAAGGAATTTCTTCCACTATGAAACTTATATTGTAAACTTGCTATCTGGTTTTCATTTTTGCCTATTATCTGTAGTATTCAGAATATTGAAGAAGGTTGCTTGAAAGTTGCTCAGTGCTTGAAAGTGCTGGAACAGCAAAGTTAGAACTCCTTCTTTATAAGAAAACTGTCATGCCATCTTGCTTATGAAGAAACACAAAAACTTCTATTCTAAATCGGAAATGAACTTTATATTTGTACTGGACTATAACAAGATGCAAGTACACTATAGACAAAAACCTAGAAAACAAGTTTAAAGCATTTTCAAAATTAGGTAACGTTCCAGATGTCATAAGTGAAGAGAATAAGATCATCTCAGGTATTGCACTCTAAATTTTGTTGAGATTTTTTTCTAAGTACTGAGGTGCAGAAGATTTTTTAATTCTGTTTTAATGTGACATCCCAGCATACTCTCTACTAGTGATATCATACTCATCTTTCCAGGCTGCTAGAACCTGACCCTTCGTTGTGGGTAAGGCCAGTCCCATTTTCCATTTTTTTTTAACAACTAAAGTTTGTCATATGATTTGTATTCTACATTATGTAAGAATTTCACTTTGTGAAAAATTCTACTTCTGGAAGAGGATGAGGCATAGTCTTCTGAGCTTGTTACTTGTTCCTATGTAAGTCCGAAGTGGATGTGATGTTCCCATAAAAGTGTGTGTGAAGATGATGTGGCCAAGGACAGCTGAAAGTGTAGGAAGACTGTAGTCCTTGGATAATCCAAAACTGATAAAAGTTCTATATCCAGATTCATAGATACCAAGTTTTTATAGTGTAGAACATTCTGAAGTTTGAGGATTGTTGTAACTCGTTCCTTAAAAAAATTGTATTCTAAAGAAATTATTTATTATTTAATAATTTAATTATTTAATTTATTATTTTTTTCCATCTGCATCAATACTGCCATTTAAATCATTAAAGGGACTCTAGAAATATGTAAGAGAACATAATTTGCTGTCTGCTTGGAGCATCTTTCCATAGGCACTGAAACAGACTTGTTAACTTCTAATGGTATAATGTCATGGTAGGGTATTTCCTTTTTATTGTGAATGTTCCCCGAATGTATTACTTCATGTAATTACACTGTCTTAGGTAATGAGCCAAAGTTCGGTCTGTTGGCCTTGCTTTCTAAAAGTAGTATGTAGGATAATCAAATTATTTGCTTGGAGGTGGTCTGTACAAGAGAGGGAAAGGGAAATCATGTTTACTTCAGATGTTTTATGATACCTAAAGAGGTGATAATAAATATTTATTAATGATGACAGTTCAAAAAACAAGTATGAATATGCATGAAACTTGTTCTTGCTGGTATAACTGGATTCATTTGACATCTTTTGGAGAGAGGCCTAATTTTAATATCTACCCCTTTGACAGGTGACAGGTTAGGAGGCCGAATAAATGTGCAACAATTATTTTTAATCTATTTTAATGTGTTTGCCTGAAGAGTGGATCAGGTTCCTGTATTTGGCTACCTAAGTTTACAGAGAGCTGTGGAAGAAATCAAGTAGTTTGCTCTGTTTAGTTTTATTTAGTTTTACCTGATTTTTGGCTTTTTTTTTTGTTTTGTTTTGGTTTTTTTTTGTTTTTTGTTTTATTAATTTCCGTATATGAACACTTCAACTTTTACTTTTAAAAAGTGGATCAGTGCTATGGTATACAGTATTCTGTGCCCCAGAGAGAAAAATACACTTATACGATATAGAAAAACATTAGACACAGCAGGTCTGGGCTATTCAGACCTTCGTTAAGTATGGTTTACCACTGAGTAGTATTTAGCTTTCTCAGTTTTTCAGCTGTGGAATTGGAGAGTACAGTGAAGTAGAGAAAACTAAAATAGTTTGCTGGCATGACTAGTCAGTATATCTACCTGGAAGATGACACCAGAGTTCTATGAAGCTGATTTTTAAAGTGTTGCTAAGGATGTGATGCTGTATAGGTTTGTGCCACAGAATAATTTGTCCGAACTGTGACTTTTTGACACCAAATGAACAGGACTGGTGAGAATATTGGCTTAGTAGTAGTTAGGGTTTTAGGCAAACATCCTGCAAGATTCTTTTTGTCTTCCTATATCAATTAAAGCTGAAGTACCACAGCATTCCAGAGAGTGCAGTATCTTCAACCTTTCACAAAAGCACTATTCTTTGTTGAAATTTTGGCTGTAACTGAGAGATTACATTTTCTGAATTGACAGGGGCTAGTGTTTAGGACAGATTCAAAGAACTGGATTTTTTTTTCTAAACAGCCATCTGGAATAAGCTTATTCTTGCTCATTAAAAATACTTGTGAATTTTTTGGCAATGTGCCTTCATCTATATTTTTATTCTTCAGATATATAATAGTACAAAACACAGAAGCTGTAGAATTAAAATTGATTTTAGTGCTATTGTGAAATAATAATTTTATTACGGTACTGATTAATGCATTGCAAAAATGTGATCAGCATGTTAGTGTCGCTTTCTGAATTAAAACTTACGTTTTTATTTTTAAAGGGCAAGAAAGAAAACCCCAAAAATTTTTAATTAACTATTCTGAGTTAAGGGTGATAGCTTTAAAAGTAATGGAGAAAGCGCTTTGCCTGTTACTGCAGAAAATTGCTTCATAATTGTCTTGGTTCTTGTAACTAATATACTGCCAGAGAGGTGGGTTATGGTTGCCTCTGTTTGTCCAGCAGGAGGAGTGCAATTACTGCTAGAAATAAAGGAGATGGTAATTAAACTGATTATGTGGGATGATAGCAGAAGAAAAATATATTGTTCAAATAAAATCAGCTTATTAGTTCTTCTGCAAACTTTGGTGATTTTCAGAGGTTAACAGAGGAATAATCTTAATTTTACATCTTCATGAGAAGATGTCAGGAAGCCTGTAGGTTTTAGGACGTAGTCAGTCTTGTGAATAGGGAGATGAGAAGAATAAATACTAGATTTCTTATCACTACGTGGTTGGTCTCTCCATGGCTGTGCTGGCACAGATTCTAGATACAGCTGGTCAAATTGAAAAAGTAAATGCTTTGGTAATATCTTTTACCTTATTTATTGAAGGCTTTTAATCTTTTAAGCAAAATAAATTTTGCTGATACATTCTGTTCGCTAGAAATGTTGCTTCAATAATTGTCATAGCCAAACCTCCTGACATACAAAAACCTAGGCTCCTTTGCTCTAGTTTAGTTTTATTTTGTTCCTGTTTCTGCAATTACAAAACATTTGACTTTGGAAAGGATTTTTGCAGTAATATTAATATTATGCATTGACTAATATTAATTAAAATATGGAAATATGTATAATCCAAAGTCCATTTATACTATAAAGAGAGTCTAAAGGAAACTTTTCTCTTAGAATCACAAAATTATGTATGGGATGGGAGAGTTTTTTAAAAAATGGAAACATCAAAATTTTTGTTTTCAGCGTTCTGCAAATACAACCTAACCCTGCTCTCCTACAGTAGAGTTATAAGGTCAGTACATGAATTTTGAATTAAATCCTTCCTCTTTGTTCCTGCAAAATCTGCATTCTGTGTTTTTTTAGTTTGCTTTCCCAAAAGCCTGGCTTTCTTTTGTATTATATACTGTTTTTGTGATAGCCAAGGTGATAGACTGACTTCATCAGCAGGCTGGGGCAAACATCCCAGGAACTTACAACTGAGCACAGACAAGCAGGTTATCATATGTTACACAAAATATCGTTCCCCAAGAAAAAAAGGGGTCTCTTTATATATTTTCTTGTATATCAATCTCTCTGTGTGTCATATTTCAGTGAAGAATAAAGAATGAATAGAATTAATCTTCCATTGTAAATGAACAATTATGAAAATAGCCTCTTCTGGAACAGATACAATAGTCCTGTGTTTCCTTCTGAAAGCTCTGTCCTCAGTACAGTGTGCTGCTTTAAAGGAATACTGTAAATCCTTGTAAACAATTGCACAATAATGCACATGACAGGGACTTGTTATATGTTTTTGAGCTTTTTTTTTTGTTGTTATTGTTGGTAGGGTACAGAGAGTTGAATTTGGAAACACTGATCTTATAATGGACTAGGATCTAGAGCTGGACCCATTGCTGTTTTTGACCTCTCTCCTCTATGATAGTATAAAGCCGTGGTAGCTGTTGTCCTAGCCAGTGGTGGCATTCATTGTAGGAGTCATCTGTGTAGAATTTTGTGAGTCATTCTGTTTTTAAAGTCTGATTGCTAAAACACTCAGTTACTGCATATGCTTTGGTTTTCTATAGAAAAAGGTGTTCTGTTTGTACCAATTTGAGGGCCCGGTATTGATTTCCAGTTCATAATTGCTTAGGAATTCATTTGCTAGGAATGTGGAAAAAAAGAGAGGGAATATGGGAGGAATATAGGAGTATTGACAGGTTATGCTGGGATGTGACAAGGAGAGGCAAGGCCTTTTGGGATTGGACCTGTCAAGGGATATCAAGGACTACTAGAAGGACATCTACAAGTGCATCAGCAGCAAAAGAAAGAGTAGGGAAAATGTGGGATGCTGCTGAAATCAGATGGGTAACCTGGTAACATATGAAACAGAGAGGGCAGAGTGAATTCCTTCTTTGCCTCAGATTTTGCTGCTGAGGCCATCCTTCAGGAATCCCAGACCCTGGCTGCAAGAGAGGAAGGCTGGAGAAAAGACGACTTGGCCTTGGCCACTGAGAGTTTGGTTAGAGATCCTTTGGCGAGGCAAACAAAACTGTAAATCCATGGGCCCTGATGGGATGCACACACGGGTGCTGAGGGAGCTGGGTTTCTCTCTGCCCAACCCTGTTGTTGCTAAGCCCATTCTGCATCTTCTTTGAAAAATAGTGGAGAAGGGGTGATGACTGGAGGAAAACCAGTGTCACTCCCATCTTCAAAAAGGGCAACAAGGAAGACCTGGGAAACTACTGGACAGTCAGCCTCACCATCATCCCTTGGAAACATGATCACTCTGGAGGCCAGGACCAAGCATATAAAAGAAATGAAGGTCATCAGGAGTAGTCAGGATGGACTTTGCCAAAGGCAAATCATGTTTGACCAATTTGATGGCCTTCTGTGATGGCATGGCAGGATGGGTCGACGAGGAGAGAGCAGTGAATGTTGTCTACCTGAGCTTCAGGAAGGGTTTTGACACCGGCTCCAATAACATCCTCATAGGTAAAGCTCAGGAAATGTGGGTTAGAGGAATGGACGGTGAGGTGGATCACGAACTGGCTGAAGGCAGAGCTCAGGGAGTCATGATCAGTGGACCAGGAGGCCTGCAGTCAGTGATATTCCCAAGGGATCAATACTGGGACCAGTCTTATTCAACTTGTTTATCAATGACCTGGAGGAAGGGATCAAATGCACCTTTAGCAAGTTTACTGATGGCACGAAACTGGGAGCAGTGGCTGATCCAGGAAGCCCTGCTGTCATTCCATGGAACCTGGGTCAACTTGGGGGTTGGGCAGAGAGAAACCCAGTGAGGCTCAACAAGGGAAACTGCTGGGTCCTGCACCTGGGGAGGAGCAGCCCCAAGTGCCAGCACAGGCTGGGGCTGACCTTCTGCAGAGCAGCTCTGTGGAGAAGGACCTGGGGCTCCTGCTGGATCATGAGTTCTCTGTGAGCTGTCAGTGCCCCTGTGGCCAGGAGGGCCAGCAGTGTCCTGGGGTGCACTGGGAAGAGTGTGGCCAGCAGGTGCAGGGAGGTGATCCTGCCCCTCTACTCAGCCCTAGTGAGGCCACACCTGGAGTGCTGTGTCCAGTTCTGGGCTCCTCAGCACAAGACAGACAAGGAGCTAGTGGAGAGGGTCCAGTGGAGAGCCACAAGGATGATCAGGGGTCTGGAGCTTTTCTCTTATGAGAAGAGACTGTGGGAGCTGGATCTGTTTGGTCTGGAGAAGAGAAGACTGAGAGGGGATCTCATCAATAGATAGAAATATCTCAAAGGTGGGTGTCAGCAGGATGGTGCCAGACTCTTTTCAGTGATGCCCAGCAACTCGCTGAGGTGCAGTTAACTAAAGCAGAAGACATTCTAGTGCAACATGAGGCAGAACTTGTTTACACTGATGGTGGCAAAACACTGGAACAGCTGCCTGGGGAGGTTCTCTGGAGACACTCAAAATCCACCTGGATGCATTGTTATGTCACCTGCTGTAGGTGACCCTGCTTTGTCAGGGGGCTTGGACTGGATGATCTCCAGAGGTCCCTTTCAACCCTAATCATTCTGTGATTCTGTGATTTGGGTTTGTTCATCCTGGAAAAGAGAAGGCTTCTGTTACATGAAGAGATCCCATAAGAAAGATAGAGAGCTTCTATTTACAGGAGCATGCAGTGGCAGGACAAGGGGGTATGGCCTCCAACTGACAGTAGGTTGAGATGACATATTAAGAAGAAGTTCTTTACTCAGAGGCTAAAGAGGCACTGGAAGAAGTTGCCTAGAGAATTTATGGATGCCCTATCCCTGGAAATGTTTAAGGCCAGATTTGCTGGACGTCTGAACAACCAGCTATAGTGAAAGATATCCCTTCCACAGCAGGCGAGTTGGGACTAAATGATCTTTACGATCCTTTGCAATGCAGACCATTCTGTGATTCTATGATTATGTGACCTTTAGCGTGAAAGGTATATCCTTTTTTGTACCTCTAGTTTAACGTGGGTTAAAAGAGTCAGATGAAACTGCAACTTCTGTTCTGTATGCTAGGATTTTCTTCTGTCATGTGTTTGGTGATGTATTTTTTTATGCTGAAAACGATGTTCAAGAGAAGGAACTCTTCTAAATTAAAGTTTCAGGGGGTGTTAATGGGGGAGTGTCATACTAGATTCAGAATGTAACTTTGCTATTGGCACTTTTCTCTTACATTTTACTGTTTTCTGTGAAGTTGAATACATCAAAACATTTCTAATATAATAAAATATACCAATGAAGATATGAAGAAGTAGTATTTTACAAATAGTAGAAGTTGTGTCTTATCTTGCTTTTCTTTAAAGCTTTCATGAGCTAATGGAAAGGGAAATTAAGAATGGTATGACTGCTTTTGAATTGATTTATCTTTGAATTAGCTCATTAAATGAGTAAGAAGAGTTAAAAGAAATGGAAATTAATATATTTTCTACAGCCGCAAGAAAAGCCAGTATTATTAATAAGGGAGGGGAGAGGGCACTGTTACAATAATTCAGAAAAGACTGTTGGGATTGTTGATTTTCTTCACAGCTTTAGTAGGCAGTTTAAACTTCTTTTCCCGGGTTTATATTTTGAACTTTCATGGAAATTACAAGAATCAGGTATTTTTTTTGCTTAACATAATTTGCTTTAACTATTCTCTGTTGAATTAGAGCACATTATCCCTCTTCCTCAAGTTCTAGTGGTTGAACATAAAGCAGTGTTGTGGGGTTTTTTTTTGTTGTTGTTGTTTTGTTAGTGGTTGGTTGGGGTATTTTTTTGTTTTTTGTTTCATTTTGTTTTGTTTTTTTCATTCCGTTCTCTTCTATATTCTGGTTGTAATTTCAGGTTTACTTGAAAGGTTTTTATGCTTTCCTGCTATGATCTAGCTTTTTTAACTGGAAAAACAGATGTGTATATTCAAAAGACATCCTTGAGAACGTAATTGTAACTTAAAAATAGGAGAATGAGGTCTGAACTCACAGTTCACCTAATGTAACTGCCATGTAAAGATGTTCTCCTGTAGTAAAAAATAAGGTGCTCTATCCTTTGAAGACATTACATAACACTCTGTAATACTTTTCATATTTTCTGCTGGATGAGAGCAGACTTTCCAATGCAGCTGATCAAATACGTCCATATTCCTGTTACACTGAAGCATCTGTACTGTTCACCCTTATCCAAAGTGGCAGTAATCCACTCAGCGCCAAAATTTAAGTTATAGATAAATTTATGTTAGATAGTAGACAGCACTACAGTGAGAACAATCCAGTACAGATACTTGGACTTTGTAGGTATAATCATCAAGTGTCAGTCTTGGAATGTTGTTTATTTTCTTTCCGAAGAGGTGATGTAAAAAGGAAGTGTGCTGGGCCTGGTAGCTGAGGTATAAGAGTCTTAATAAATCAGACTGTTTAACAGAGTAGTTTTCCTGTATTATATAGTTTGTGTGTAGTAATCTGTCACAGTTTGAGATGGAAGATTCAGAAATATCCCATTTGAGATTGTTCTATTCCCAAAACCTTAACAACTTGAAAGAGTTTTTTAACAGTTTGGCAAAATAAACACTCAACTGTTAACGTGTATAAAGAAAAGATTATTGCTTTCTGCTTTTAAAACATAAATAAATATATCAATGATGTGCAATGTAGCTCAAAATGCATTATTTACCTTCAGCTTTAAAGCTTTGAGAACACCTCTCACAACTCTTATCTAGTATTTCCATTTGGTTCAAAGACTTTAATTTGTAACTGCTAAAGTCTCTCTCTTCTTTCTGTCTTTTTCTAGGATATGTTTGTATTTAGACATGAACTTGCTCTCCTAAGAATATCTGCCTTCATGGGTCTGATAATATTAGGTGGAATAAGTCGACTCTTTTACACTCAGCTAATGGGTATTTTCACTGTAAGTATCTAATTTCAGAAGTATATATTAGTTTTATTTTCAGTACAATTAGTCAAATCAGAAAAGCATATTGCATTTCAGGGAAGACTAGAAAAATACTTACACTATGAGGCACTTGTTTGATACGTGGTCTGTCAAGCCTCTTGACACCAGTGAAATCTAAGGAGCTCTGTAGCAAACAGGTGTCTAATAATTCCACCATCAAGTCAGTTTCCTGATTTGTATTAGTTAAATAAACTCATACCTTGTCCTGGAATTGCTCAGTGTACAGGGTATGTAGTTGATTTTTGTTTTTATTTTAAACTCTTGTGTGTCCTGGTCAAAATTATGTGATATTGAGGCTAACTGATAAATCAAATTCTGAGAACATGGCATCTTTGTTAAGTATTTTCATAAATTTACCTTTTTTTTTTTTTTTTTAATTTGCTAAACTGTGGAATGTAATAATGTACAGTTTACAGTCCAGATGTGTATTCTGCATTTAGATACACAGAAAAAAAACCCTTTGCATGGAAAAAATTTCCAGGTAAATGAATTTGGTAGCATAATAAATATGTGCAAGAAACAAGCTTTTTTTGACATAACATCTTGTTCTGTACATTAGAAGTTAATAGCTGCTAGCAAATTCTTTAAAATTATCTTGAAAATCCATACAAATGATTAAAATATTGTTCTACACAAGAGAGAGGGTATATTTTTTGGTATGTACATGTTGAAAGAGTCTATGATCTTGCCTGCTGAACTTTTTTTAAAAGACAGTAATGTACAAGACAGCAACATCTTTGTGGCTACAACTGTTGGAGATCTGCCTTAGATTTCATTTTGGAATTATGAGTGTTTGCACAGTATTAACTTTTGTAGGTAGATAATAGAAAACCTCTCAACTGTATTGCGTAATTCATTTGTATGGAATAAAGGAAAAAAGATTATAGTGTAGTTTTTAATTATGTTAGATAAAGAAATAGTAGTGCTTTTTGGTTTTACAGTATTACCTTTACATATTTACTACCTTTTGCTTTTCATGTCATGGTAGTTATTATTACCATTCTCCAGCTACTCTGCCATAATGCATTCTGTACTTACTCTCATCCCCCAGGTCAACAGATTTACCTTTGTGCACCTTTACTGTGTGCCTGATTTCTGTTCCAGGGTCTTGCTGACAGATTTTCTCTTCCCTTTAAATGTTATCTTTATGTCTGCATCATCTAGAGCTGAGATGTTTTTCTAGACCACCACTATGGTGGCTGTCTAGCTGAAGTAGTGAATTCTGCTCACCAGTAACAGGTGAGACAGAGACAGAAACTTAGTGAGCCTAATTGTTTAGATACTGAAATATGAATGTCTTTTCAGTTTCTGTAAAATGGGGATATATATAGTGCTGCACTAAACCAGATTGGTTATAGAAGAAAACAAGGAGCAGACCCTAAGTTTATCATTCTGTTCTGTATGCTGCCAGAAGCTGGACTAAATTTTAACAGTGATCATCAACATCCATTCAGATACTATTACTGGATATGAAATAAGACCTCTTAGACTGAACCTATGTCTGTCAGATATACCTGAAACCTGGGCTGTTTCTGTTCCGAGCAGGATACCAGCTGCACTGCCACTGCAACAGGCACGAATGCCCAGTTGTAACTTTGCTGTCCTGAGCCTTAACACTTCCAGGCTGCTGCCACCACTGCACTATATTTATAAGCTGCTGTAAATTCTTTTCTTTCTGTGTCAATTGTATAGTATACTGTGAAGTACATCCTATTCGCTTACAGAGCTGGCAGCTACACTGGGACAGGTGTGGGGTAATAGCATTTTTAAGTCCATTTTTCTGCTGAAATCATAATGACTGAGCTGCAGTCTGCCTGGACCCTCTTTTCTGTTGTCATTGCCTAAATGTGAAACAAGCATGCTACAGTAATTGTGGATGTGGATGGTCTGTGAGAGGCAGATGCTGAAAAGAACAGATATTCATTAAGGCCTCTCACTGCACCTTACCTGTTCCCCCCAATAGCAAAGGGGCTATTGTCACACGGACAAGTTTTTAGGCTTGATGAGATTGTTGTAGAAGTAGAAATCCATTACTGGTATATGTCCATTAATTCATTCACACCATGTGGATGCTGTTGCATTGACTCACTGAAGAATGTAGGTCGTGTAGTCCATCCCCCACTCAGAGCATTTCATACCAGCAGCACAATTGTCTTCTCCTTTTTCATTCCTTTCTTTGTAAATACAGAATTAGCAAGAATGAACAATACAGTCGTTTTGAGGAAATCTGCTTGGCAACAACCAGTCAGACTTCAAATAAACAAAGCAAGTCTGTTTGGTCTAGTTATGCTTAGTCTAAAAGTGATGTCAGAAACTGTGCAAATGATTTTTGATTGCCAGCATTATAGTGTGGAGGCTTGCTTCCTGCATAAGCACTGACAGCTTTGGTTAGCAACTGGAAAAGGCAGAAGAGGAGAGGACAGCATGTGAGTTACTAGTTTCTCTGCAGGCTCCCAGAATGCATGCCTGTGGTGGTAAAGTAGGGAAACAATGAAACTGGTATGCCCAACCATGAGCTGAGCACATTGAGTGTGCAAGACATTCAAGCCCTGTAGGAGCAATGAGCCATGAACAGTAAGAAGCAGTGATGTATCCACTGTGTACTGTGCTGGAGTTACCGTTCAGCATCTAGCCTTCCTGTGTAAATTAGGGAAATTGTATCTGAAATGAGCTCTATATTAAAAACGGAATTAGTGGTGAAATTAGTATAAGGTATAGATCTAAACTTAATAGCAGAACACAATCATTAAAGTATGATAGTGCAGACAAGGACCTTGAAAGAAACTTAAGATGCTTGGAGCCACGGATATGCACAGTTAAAGCTTTCATGTCATGTGAATTGCTCCATAGCTATTCATGAAAGCATTAATTTCAGTGATTCCTGAAGCTGCCTAGAGATGTGTGCAAGGGACAAAAGCATGGGCCTTTTGAAAGAGGCAAAGCAGCTCTTGTGCTTATATGGTAATACACATTTTTGTAGTTCATGCTCTTGTGCCTCTTCTTGCAGTTTAACATATACCACGATTAATTCCACAGCTCCTGGAAAAAAAAGCTGTTTTTAAGTAGTAGAGACAATAAACATTGCAGCTCTGTGGTCTAAACTTTAGTGGGTGCAAACTGTTGCTGAATGAGTCCAGCAGGTTGAGGTTCGTTAGTGTTTAACATTACTATTTATCTGTGCTGCAAAAATTTTTGGAAAGAAAGATAAATCTAAGATTTTTCAAACTTTAACCCTTTTGTAACAAGACATCCTGATTCTCCATAAGGTAAATTTGCCTGACCATCATTACATAATTTTCCAGAAATTAAGCCAATAGCTTTTGTTTCATCTTAGTAATATAAAGCTGAGGCCCATTTGTTTGAGGAATATTGGACCTGCTTATTTAAAAAATTCCATATTCTTGGTTTATATTTTTATTTACAGAGGTTTATCCTCTTGCCACAGCACCAAGATAGATAAAGTTTAACGTGCAGAATAAATTTGCACATGTGATCTTTGTGTACATTTCTAGAAGCAGAATTGAACTCTACTAGAATTGACCTAAGTGCTAGATTGACAAGCTGTAAGAATGAGCAGAAATTTTTCATAGGTTTTCATAGGATTGGCATTTTCTCCTCTTTGATATATTTTTTCAGAAATCGTAAAATGTGTGGCTGAATGCATTATGGAAAGAATATATCTGATGTCCTCCATCGTGTTTTTCTGGAACGGGGCAGTAGTTAAAAACAGAAAAGCAAAGCAGCACATTATGAAGTGCAGATGAAGTATTCTGCCATGTGTGCTGGCACTTTGCAAAATTCAGGTTTGTTGCACGGTTGTCTGATGTGTGCCTGTCATTGCGCAACTCTCCTTGGTTATATCAGTAGATCAATTTTTAAAAAGTCTTTAAGAAAAATATGCATGTATTCTGCATATGTGTGTATTCTGCTGCTACCCTGCTTCATGTGCTTCAAGGTGCTTGGAAAAAAATGTGGTCTCTAGTAAAAATGAAAACTTTGTAAGTTATAGACTGAAATTTGTCTCTTACAGGGACAATGTTCTTGAGGCTGTAGTGCTTGATAAGGTGATTAATAGACAAAGTAACTTACCACATAGTAATTTCTCTGAGTGCATTTGCCACCACTGTGATATCACTGTTATGATATCATTAGCACAAGGCTATTCATAACTCATTTGGAGGTCCAGGAAGCCAAAGAGCAAAGGAGGTGACTTCCTACAATGAGAGGAGAACAGCTGGTTGGCAAAAACTGTCCTTAGAGGAACTTTTGACATGAATTGTTCCGATGAAGAGGGGAGCAGCTGAGATGGCCTCTGTGTACAGGATTAGTGCTTTCTCCCTAGAAACTAGCATATGTGAAACACACTTCTATCAGAAGGGGCACGTGGCTCTTTTCATCCTCCTTCTCCAGTTGCTTTCCCCGAGCTTTATTTGCCTCTAATTTTGTTATCATCCTGAATTTTGATACTTCTTCTGGATGTACTTTACATTACTCTTGGGGAAGTTTTATTTGGATACTTTGAAAATAAAATATCTAGCTTCTCTCTAATTCATAAGCCTCTGGAATAGGGAGAAATTTAAAATTCTAATTTAGGAACTCTAGGACTCTTAAGAAGATATTCCTCTTAAAATCTCATCAACAATTAGTATTCTAACTTAAAATATTAAAGTTTTTAAAGAACTGGGTGGAAAAATTGGTTTCACCCATGGGTTAAACACCGTCAGAGGTAATTACAAAAATGATCATGAATTTAAGTTAAAGGCCTGCCTGTCTCTTTCTTTACCACTCCTCTATTCCCTGTTATTTCTTGTAGAGAAATTTTGAATTTTTTATTCCTTAACTGGTAATTTATGTTCCTTAACTGAAGTCTGGTGTTCTTACATTCTCAGGCAGCATGATTTTTAAGTTACATTGTTTGAAAAGTGGACACAAACTTTTAAGTGAAACAGCAACAA